GACCTGAACTAAGAAACATTAACAGTAAAACAAAACAACAACAAGATAGTAAACTCAGGAGTTTTGGTCCCGAGATGAACTGAGTCGTAAAGCATCGACGGAAAAAGCACGACATAGAGGCTCGTCCACCATAACACCATAGAGTACCTGAACAATCCATATTTACATACCATCAAGCAACACTGCTTACCCTATGACTTCTCTCTTCGACATCCTCGACGTAGACGTTGATCCCGTCGACCAAATGCAGAACGACGCGTGGGCTATTGAACTAGGACAGAAGAGGGTCGTAGTGAACTAGTAACTTATAGCTTGTTAGATTTTGTTGAACTATGAGACTTGAATGAGGAACTGTACTAATGAACTAGCCTATCCCTGCCTCACCAGGAGTCGTCACTGTTGGCTGGTGAGAACCCCATTTGACGAGCTAGGCCGGAGGAGGAAGGTTCCGGAGAACGCTCCCGCTCCGGGGGTGGCTGGTTAGAGGGCCCAGGGCGGTCGGCACCAGCGTCCCTCTCTCGTTCGCGATAAGGACGTTCGTACCGACGACGAGGAATTGCACCGCGGGGAGGGGGGCGGTAGGTTTGGACCCTGAGTTGGTCATAGAAGCCTCAGGGGCCACGTTGAGGTCAAATATGGCGAAAGGGATTTTGAACACAAAATGCCCGATGATGCCCCTCCTCGTAGCATACGCTACAAGGGTCCTTACGGATGCATATGCCGAAGTGCAATTTTAGGCAGTTACAGCAAAGACCGTCCCGGGAGGCCAACTCAGCCCTGTCACTGAGGTAAGGATAGACGTCGCAGTCTGAACTATAGTGACCTTCCTTGCGACAGAAGACGCAGGGTTCCACTCTCCCGTGTGCCTCAGAAGGTGCAGATCGTCTTGGAAATCCGGGCCTCGAGCGGGATCTTGTATTAACACGCTCTTGTGGTCTTCTGGATGGACTACGACTGGGTGGTCTGCGTTCTGGACTACGTCGCGATCTCACTTTCGGAGGTTCCACGTCGCGGCTTGGACTATCTCTTCCGTGTCTCCTTTTGCCCAATCCTGCGGGCTCGTAGCTGGATCTCGCAGTAGAGGTGGACTGTCGTCCAGCCTGGGGGGGGGGCACAGGAGCGAGAAATTGTGGTGTTTCTTCTGGCCATGTACTAATAGGTGGTAGTTTTGGAACCTCAATTGACCTCAGGGGTTGCTGAGTTGTCCGCTGAACTAAGGGTTGGCGTCCTTGATCACGTGCCTGTTCCTGAAGACGTCTGTCCACCGTAGATGTCTGCAGGTACTGGTCCGTGGCTCTTATCATCAAGCGCGTCTGAATAATTATCGCGCCACCATCGCAGGGTCTGGATATAAGACTCCGGTTCTTCGGGCCATGGAGGCGGCATGTGAACTTGTGAACTAAGACGATAATCTTCATCTTCTTGGGTGACTCGCACTCTTCTTCGGTTCATGAAGTGAACCATCTGGTGCGCTTCTAGGACACGTATCATGCGAGTTGAATGGGCCATGACTGCTGAACTATGCTGAGAATCTCCGTGAAGGTTTCTTCTGTGATACCGAACAGTTGGAGGGTGGCTCTGAAGTAATCCTGTTCCTGAGACCACTGGAATAGTCTCGGCAACATCAATTCTTGAAGTAGGTCCCGATTGACCGTGATAGCTGTATTACTGTGGGTTAACTGGTGAATCCAACCCATAAGGTGGGTGTACCTTATATCTAGGGGTTGTCTTCTCACTAGGATGACTGCCAAATTGTGGAATGATTGAGTGGTGTGCTCAACCATCTCCAATAACGTCTGGAGTATATGAACTATTCTGGCAACTGCTTCAAAGTCCGAGGGTCGTGCTGGAGTAGTTTCCTTGTCCGGTATCTTAATTGCTCGGACGCGGTCTCTCAAAATGTTATTTGTAGTAATATAATCGAACACCGTTCGAAATTGGTGTGCGGTTAGCTCCTCCACGGTATAAGGCTCAACTTTGACTGTACTAAAGGGAGTTACATCAGGTGCCTTCGACAACGAA